CCGCTGAGATAAGCGACAAATAGCATTCTGCAGCCGTATATGTCAGTTTCCAATCTATAACCTCTGTGATCTGTGACATACACTGATGGACAAAATTAGCGCACCACCTATATATTTTCGAATAAATCATTTTTTTTCCCAAGTAGGCTGGTAAATAACGTAACCATAGTAACATTGGACAGTACCAATTGTTTTTGGTCCCTTTCTACTCATTCCAGTGCAAGTTTCTACTTGTTTTCTGTCATTTGCATCATCTCATCATTGTTTTCAATAGTGATGAGCGAGACTGGTATTGGACTTACACTTGGATGACCAAGAGTTTCGCAAGAGTCTCGCAAGACCAGGCCGCTCATATTAATGTTTTTGGTTTGACGTATAGCTCACCCTGTCAAAAAACGATGAAACAAAACGAAGTGTGGTTAGTACGGTAATCCGATGCCGAACCGCTTTGGATCTGTCCTCGTAGCCCTTAATATTGTGTTTTAAGGAAGCTGAACAGTCTTGAAGCATGGGTCACCCTCTCAAAAAACGATAAAACGAAATCCGATACCGAAACGCTTAAACACTTAACATACCGACGATTGACTGTGCGTGAGAAATAATTAAATTAGAAGCCAAAGCTGTGAACAAGTTTCATATTGAACTTAAAATGTGATCCATTCCAGTTTTTTTCCTTCTCTTTCAGATTATCTAAATCGGGGTGCAGGTGGGATAAATATTTGGAAAATAAAGTTAGTTTCTAGTCGATATTGCCTAGATAAAATTGGTTATTCATCGACATACTTAGTACTTGTGCCCCCTTTGTTTGTCCCAGTACAAGGTGAGTTTACTCATAGAGTAGTCCTGTTGACTGTAGCGAAGTAAACGAAGATCACTCCGATCTTCTTGAAGATGAAAAGATATTTCAGAACCAACCAGGCCAAGAGAATCTACGACCGGACTGAACGGGCTCTTTTACGCGAACGGATACATGAGACCCGCCCGGATCTTGCACATATTGACAATAGACTTTTACCTGTCAATAAAGAACTAGCCAACAAAATGCACTGGATCTATTGAGAAGAGGTGGATCGATTAACAATTGAACGGAAGATGGTGGCCCGAAGCAACAGCAACCAATCGCCAAAGAAAGACATCATAGCAAATGTCGAGAGTGGAATACGCTCGCTACCTATTCCAACCGCGGAGCAGATAAGGGCTGAGACATCACGTATTTTACAACGCTCAAAGCCTCCGAAGAGCAACCTCACCTTCAGAGAAAGAAAAGCCTTGAAAACGCTCAACGAGGATAAGGAGATGCAACTGTGGTCATGTCATCGTTGAACTACGAGGACAAAATTAAAGAGCTTTTGACCCCGTCAACGTACAAGAAGTTGGCACGGGATCCGACGGCACGGATGCTAAGGACAACCTACAAATTAATTAAGGACATGACATTTCCGTTCGAGGACTTGGCCAAACTCAGAAATTCAGAAGCACTCCCACCAAGGCTCTACTGACTGCCCAAGATCCATGAATCGGATGTACCACTGAGACCCACTGTGAACGCTATGATATTGCAAAATATCTTACAAGAATTTTACAGCCGAAAATAGGAAAAACTGACAGTTTTATAAAGGACTCATCTCATTTTGTTCAGAGGTTGCACTCGTTGTCATTAGCTCCCGGAGAAATCCTTGTGAGTTTTGATGTTGTTCACAATGGTACCAATTAAGGAGGCAATGGAACTTATTGAGAGATAATTTCCACCAGGCATCGCCAAACTGTTCGAACACTGCTTAACCACAACCTACTTTCAGTGGAAAAACGAATCCTATGAACAGACGGATGGAGTAGCAATGGGCAGCCCCCTTAGTCCGGTGATAGCCAACTACTTTATGGAAAAGGTTGAGATGGACGCTCTGGACACAACCGCGAGGAAACGTAAGTGTTGGTTTCGATATGATGATGACACTTTCGTTGTTTGGGGCCATGGTTTGGTTGAACTTAAAGACTTCCTGAGGCACCTCAACTCAAACACCGAAGTGGAGAAGGATGGGCGACTGCCATTTTTAGATGTCTTGGTAACCAGAAAAACCAACGGAAAGCTGGCCCACACGTTGTACAGAAAACCGACACATACCGACAGGTACCTGCAGAGTGGATCAAACCATCATCCTAGTCAAAAGAGAGGAGTCATTAAAACCCTCACCGAAAGAGCCAGAAGAATTTGCGAACCATCTGAGTTAGAAAGAGAATTGAAGCACCTAGAAAGGGCATTTGGTTGGAATGGGCATTTGGTTGCAATTCGACCAAGAAATAGTTGAGGCCGTCCGGAGAAAACAGATAGGCATGATGAGCGTAAGGGTTGGGCTTGCCTCCTGTACATACATGGAGTCACGCGCAGGATCGGCAGGATACACAAAGTAAAAAAAAACACAAAGTCAGAACAGTTTTTAAACCAACTCAAACAATCCAACATACTTTGAGATCGGCCAAGGACAAACGGGATCTTTTATTAGCAGAGGAGTCTATCTATCAGAGTATATATCGGCACCACAAAAAGTAGTGTAAACACTAGGATCACTGAGCATAAAACAAGTGGCAGATTAGGACAAACAGACAAATCAGCAGTAGCGGAGCACGTACTTTTAGACGGTTACCAAATACGTTTCGATGAAGTGGACATTTTGCACCAATCTCAACGGTATTACTCGAGACTAACCAGAGAGGCCATTGAGATCTTTAAACATGACAACAATTTTAATAGGAAAGAAGAGGTAACGGCCCTTAATCCAGATTGGAAACGCATTTTGCGGCAAACAGCGTGTGCGCCAAAAGTGGCAGTAGTTGAACCAGTCTTAGTCGAAAAGCACGGGAGATCACTTCCCCCCACTGCCTCATCGGCTTTAATAATGTCCACCGCAGTAGTGGACAAAACGTCAGGAAGAAATTCCCATGGACCACGGCTTCAAAGCTCGAAAAACATTTCTTGATGAGATTTTATTTTATTAAATACATTTTTTCAATAATTACTACGTTATTCATGCTATACGGACAAGAAGCGGTTTAAGTTTTTAGTCACCCAATATTTTAAAAAATGTGACGGATTTTTTTCTCGGCTTAAGCGGAATAATTTACTTGTTTCAACAATTATTTGTCCGTTTAGACCGACAAAAAACATCGTTTTTCTTCTTCTTTAAAAAAATATTGAATAATAATTATTAATTTATTTATTTAAAACTAGCCTTATTCTTTAATAAAACAAATCTGCTCATTTCAGACATAGACAAGCTAATGGAAAGATCTACTTATTTTTAAAGCTGAACACGTTTGGGTGGCAAGAATGAAGGGTTAACATTTAAAAAACGATGGTTTTTCCAAGATTATAATTGGAAAATGTTGAAATTGTTTGGGACAATACGTATAAAAATAAAAGAGGGATGAAGCGGTTGTGTAAATGTAAGATAAAAACACAACAAATAAATGTAAGAGCTGATACGCACTGGCCTAAGTAAGTTACACTTTTGTCGACTCGCAATTTCTCATTGAAAGTTTTTTTGTAATTTCACAGTATCGGTAACTACATTCAGTACTGCATCTGTTATTAATAAAATGCGATATTTCGAAAACTAAACACTTTTGGAATAGACAACCTTACACAAACTGGCCCTTGTTTATAATACTGAATAAAACAAAATTATCAAAAATGATTTTGGGTGGTTTTCTCAGCGTCATTTTGAAACAAAGTTTTCCTAATTCCATTAAAGTAAGTCCGTTTCAACAAGAAATGCGACGAAAAACGGTTAAACTTAGGTATAGGATATCCATACATGAAATCTATTTACAATCTATATAAATCTATTTACAATTTCGGAGAGAATTCAAAAATGTAATTATATATAGGGTGTTCCATTTAAAATAAGCAAATTGATTGAAGTGTGGCAGTCTTGAAAATATTTTAGATCGCTTGCCCCCAAAACTTCGGCACAGTGTCCAATTGTCAAATTCCTCCTAATAACAGTTTGCCAGATATCGATCGCGGCGGTTTTCAGTAGACACCCTGTATAAGCCTAATCAACATATTCATGTTACTGTAGATTTTTCACTGTTGTTGTACTTTTGTTAGAATATGTAAATTACACTATAAACTTGAAAATATATTCGATTTCTCTGGATAAAGATCTTCTGGATCGGAAGTACGGGTCAACAATTTGGAATCTTACAAAATAAGTAAACTTATTAAATAGCAAATAGTCTGAGATTTTTCGTTGTTTCGTATTGATTAGTATTATATTTTATTTAATTAGTATTATTGTTATTATTAAATTTATTTCGTCTGATTTTACGGCTATATAAAAGCAAGACTAAGACTGCAAGCAATGCAAGACCAAGATCAAGGCCAGGCAAGTCTTGGTCTTGGCTCATCACTAGTTTTCAGCAAGTGTGGTACTGTTTTCGATTCAATTTACTACTTATTAACTAGAGTGTATTCGCATTGAAATGTCCCCAGGAAGAAAATTAAGTGAGTTTGATGCGATCAAAGTTGTCACCTTGTTGGAAGAAGGATATTCCCAACATGAGGTCGCCCGAAGATTGGGTGTTCATCACACACCATTGGTCGATTTCTTCAGCGTTTCAGGGAAACAGGTTGTCATGCTAGACGACCAGGGCAAGACCGACCAAGATCCACAAACCATGGGGGCGGTCGTCTTATACGACTTCAAGCTTTAAGAAAACGGTCTATTACCGGAAATGAGATACAAAATCGAATTCAAAATGCCCGAAATGTCTCAATTTCTTCCCAAATGGTAAAAAGAAGGTTCAATCAATCCGGATTGAGTGCAGAACATTCAGTAAAAGGTCTCTCTTATCCATGACCCACAAGCAAGCTAGGCCTGAGTTTGCTCGAGAACACGTGGACTGGGATTTGGACGACTGGAAAAAAGTCTTATTTATTGTTGAAGTTAGAGTGGGTTTAAAATCTTCGGATGGGCGAGCTTTTATTTGGAGAAGACTCGGAGAAAGATACAGCCAAGCATGTATGGTTCCCCAACTGGCTTTCCGCGGTGGCTTAATAATGTTTTGGTGTGGCATTTCTTTAGAGGCCCGTACGGACCTTGTGGTGATCCGAGGAAGATCATTAGCTTCCCAGAAGTACATTCAAGCGATTTTAGAAAACAATGTCGCACCTTTTGCACCTCACATAGGCGACAATTTCTCCTTTATGGATGATAATGCCAGACCGCATCTGATCGTGCGCTAATATCTTAATGAGGTTGGAAATCAACGTTTAGTGTAGCAACAGCTTAGTCCGGACGTTAACGCGATTGAACATGTTTGGAATCAGCTCAAACAACGTATTCGACGACGAGATCTTACTCCTGAGAGCTTTGCTGAAAACGCGGTTCTTCAATAATGGCATAACATACGCCAAGAATTCATTACAAGCCTTTTTTTATGGCATTCCAAGACGTTTGAGGGACGTTATTCGATCTAGAGGCGGCAATACAAGCTATTGAATCGGTTAAAGACGGAAGCTTTACCTGAATTTCAAAATGCATTTTTCATACATTTTTGCCAAAAACTAGTGATTCATGTTTTGTTTTAATTTTTCTTTCGAAAATATTCTCATATTAATTTAAAAATCAATAATTTGAGTTTTGATAAAAGTATGTAGGGTTCATAATATTTTTTCTTTGAAATGTATCGATGGTGCGCTAATTTTATCCATCAGGGTAATTTAACAAAAGGCAGCTTTTACAGAATATTTCAAATTTAGGGCTAGACCATGGCGGGTAAAAATGAGCTACATTTTTGCTCGCAAACTGCTAACATCGCAAGCTATAAATTTCCTATAGTTTCCAAAACATTTCAAACTCAGCCTTCAAATGGCCAAGTTCCGAAAACTGTAGGTCTGCATTCAATTTAAAAATCCCGTTACCGTTAAAGCGACTAAACCGCTATCGGTAGGGACCTGACATTTACCCTGCACGTTGCTGATACCCCAAACTACAAATTTTGCAAATATCACTTTTTTTTTACGATCTGAGCACCGATTAAAACTGAAACCGTTGCAGAGGAGGCTTGTGGACGGCCGTCCTGGGCTGGATTCTTTATCTGCCGTTGGTGGCGCCTATCGTCCAGTACCAGCCAATAGAACTGACCGGAAACGGCGATCAAGAGTGCGCCCTCCTGCTCAACGGCCCCGCTCGAAGCAGCCACTTCGACTACCAATTCAACCTCCTCCGAGGCGGCAACTTGTGAGTAGTCCCTTCTCCTGCCATTGCCCAACTCTCAACCCCTTTGCTTCCTTCATATAGGGACTACCATGGACCGCACACCTGCATTACCTACGCAGCAGTCAACGCCGCCTATCAAGAAGCCAGTAAGCGCATCCGTAAGTGCTGCGGAGGAAAGTTGCTTGGGCAACACCCACCCTTAATTTCCGTGCTGTTTCAGAGGTGGCACAACCGCATGGGGACTGGAAGCCTGAAGAAGTGGCCACTGTAGGCGAGCTCCTGCTCGATATTTCCAACAATTTAGCCAAGTCGTAAGTGGATGCCGAGAGGACAGTGTAGTTGAGTTTGGGGGTAAATGGCTGATTCTTCCGAAGGTACGGCCTGAGCTACGAAGACATTGAAAAAGGCCTGCCTCTGATCGACACCAGCAAGACGCTGATCCGCGACATCTGCCCTCCGTATCTGTCCAATGTGGAGTGTCGGGCTGGGAAATACCGAAGATACGACGGGTTGTGCACCAACTTGCAACATCCTACGTGGGGCGCTACGAACACCCCTTTTACCAGGCTGGTGGGGCCGCTCTACGCAGACGGCATGTCTGATCCACGTATCAGCGTTTCTGGTCACGCTCTGCCCGGCTCCAGGGTCGTCTCACGAACTCTCCATCCAGACCAAGGTTACCACGATCATGCGGGCACTGTCATGATCATCGCTTGGGGGCAATTCATGGATCATGACTATACTCTAACTGGAACCCCTTTAGGTAAGTTGATTTGATTTACCCTTTAGGTAAGCTATGGAGGCCATTGATTGCTGAGGCTTGATTAATGTCCGTTGCTGATGCCTTTCAGACTAAAGTGACCGCACGTCCCGATTTCATTTACGTTCTCATCTTCATAGGTTTCTGGAAGGTTTTCCAAGATTTGTTTATGGAACTCGTTTTTTAGTTTACATACTTCCCACCTGTTTGATCATTCCGCGCTTTTATTTTTGTGCCTAGAGATGCGATTTATGACCTGTTCTTTTACTAAGATGTGGTTCGAGTCCGCATCTGCACCTCTCAAGCTCCGTACATCAAGGAAGCTGCTTGCATGTTTCGCGTTTACTAAAATCTGATTCCTTGTGATACCATCATTTGATACCCAAGTCTGTTTGTTGTCCATGTCCATGTGTTCAAACATTGTAGACTTGACTAGCAAGTTATTATTATTAGCTAGTTATAGCAAGAAATAAAGTTTTTCCAAAAACCGATCAGAGAAAGCAAAATCAGATAACACTATTTGGAAAACTCGTCTATATCATCGCCCTGAAGATTTTTTAAATTTCTTAAAAATTTTCGGTTTTTTCCATTTTAGACCAAATATTTTAAAGCAATCGTTTTTACAGAAAAGGTAACTCAGTGAATTTTTAGGAGTTGTTGACTTTCTGTTAGACTCTTAAATTCCAGTCTCGGTCATCGGTAAATGAGTTATAACTCATTAACCGATGAGTTAATACTCATTAACTCAGAGAGCGGCAACAACTCAAAAGCGCAACTCAACACAGGTTACCCAGGCCTAGACTGATTGACAACTTATGACTCGCATCGCGATATTTACAGTTAATGTCTAACGTTGTTTGTAATGTTAACAGTTAATATCTAACGAAACGTTCGCTTCAATTGCGCATTTCGGCGATTTGTGGTGAATTTTTAAACATTGCGATGCATCGGGATTGTTCAAATAATTATTTATCAAAAACTCTTACAGTTTGAGAAACGATTATTGCTGGACTGGATAAAGAGCCCATTTTTCTCTACCTTAAAGAAATTTTGCGTGCATTGCATTTTTCGTTAAATTATGACGGATGTTTACACTGACGGTTGTATGACTGGCTTCGTGGCGGAATGGTTTTGCAAGCTGATTTTTGCAAATTTATTTCTCGAAAACTGGCCCAGATGGAGAAATTTCGCTGACTGTGTTCGATAAAGCGCGCCTTCTTCTACTGTTGCCGAAATTTGCAGTTTGTTTGAACTTTTCCTTGATTTTGGGCGAATTTTTATACTCACCTTTTCAACCGCGTAGTGTACTGGTTTTACATAGCAATTTTTAACATTTTTGTTTTTGCGGAAATTGGCCAACGTATGCTACCAATCGCTATAGCACTGGATCGCTATATACACTTAATTTTATTCTTGCCGAAAATTTCGTTTTTGTTGCAAGAGACTGTGATTTTTGGCAATTTTTTACACATTTGGTTGCATTGATGGGGCTGCCACGTGGAATAGTTTGGGGTAAATTTCAAAATATATTAATTCTAGAAAACGAGCGCCCACCCGGAGATTTTGGTTACGACGGTGGAGAACGCGCACTTTTTTCTATTGTTGCTACAATTTAAATGCATTTTTAAACATTGCGATGCATCCGTGGACTTTGCGGCGCAACGGGATTGTTCAAAAAAGTGTTTCTCAAAAACCCTTACAGTTTGAGAAACGACTGTTGCTGGACTTGATAAAACCGACATGGTCAAAGTATTAGGGTTTTGGCAAGACAACTTGCGTGAAAGCGTACGCGACGCCTTTTTGCAGTTAATGTCTAACATGGTTAAGTGGCAAGAATACAGAAATATGTTTTTTCGCAAAAACTATGAATGCTACAAGATTTTACAAAGAACGCAAAATTGTGAATAAATGATTAGTGCATCAACCAAAAAAATGAGTTGATTTCATCCACCAAATAACAAGTTCTGGTAGTTTTTGTACCACGACACTCAATAATTCACCACTTGTCCAAACCGTATGAACCCGATTGTTTCATCAAAATATGAGTCTTACAAAAAAACAAATTCACAGTGAATTGAGGAGAGGGCAATTATACGTCTATGATGAAATTCTCACTAGATTCAGATTACTAAAGTTCCTAAAATCTACGTTTTGAAGTTCAACCGTTCAGAAATAATTTGCAAAAAACCCTCCTACTGGGCCCCTATTCTAGAAGGTGTAGCTCCGTTACGGATCATTCTTGGAGACATGTTCATTTGAAAAAATAATATTAATTTTGAGAGCAGATTTCACTGTTCCAGTTTGGCCACCTAATTTCGGGACACCCTGTATAACTAAATTGTAATTCTCACTTCAGCCCATTTGTTCTGCTTGGTCTCAATGAAAATTTGGTCACTTTATTTCAGACCCATTCAACCGCAACGATCCGGAGGAATGCTGCGGAAAACCGGCCCATCTGAAACATCCCTACTGCAACGAGATCGACATCCCCGAGGATGACTATTTCTACAACATGTACCACGTTCGCTGCATCAATTTTATCCGGTCCTTCCCTGCAGCGCGGCCTGGCTGCCGGCTGGGCTCTAAAGTACCCTACAACACCCTGACGGGAGTTCTGGATGCCAACACTGTGTATGGAGTGACTGAGCATCATGCCAGGTGAGGTTGCAACGCTTCTGGAATATTCGTTAAGGCGTAATTTGGCAGGAAGCTGCGCGAAGGTCACGCAGGGCTTTTGAGGATGAACCCGGCCTTTTCCGAATACGGCCTTAAGGATCTGCTGCCCTTGAAGTTGGACGTGCCGGATGAGGGCTGCACCAGGCTCAATGCTAGCATGTACTGTTTTGAAGCAGGTGAGGGTTTTTCTTTGCCTTGGTGCAGCGGGCAGGAAGTTGTTAAGTTGGTTGGTTTTGATTCAGGTGAAATCCGAGTGAACGAGCAACTCGTGCTGACAGTAATGCACACTCTGATGGCACGCGAGCACAATCGAGTGGCACGCGAACTAGCGCTTGTCAACCCGCACTGGGATGACGAAACCCTGTTCCAGGAGGCGCGCAGAATTAACATCGCCATCATCCAGCACATCACTTACAACGAATTTCTGCCCATCCTGCTGGGCAAGGATGTGATGGAAAAGTTCGGGATTCTGCTTCAGAAAGAGGTAAGTGGGCGCTTTCCCGCTGGGGTCGTGGAACAGCTTTCGGTTGCAGGGCTACTGGAACGGGTACGACCCCAACGTGAACCCCAATGTGATCGACGCCTTCTCAGCAGCCGCCTATCGATTTGGACACTCCCTCCTACCAACTGCTGTGGAGAGGTGGAGCAAAGCGCACAAGTTTATCGGTATGTAGTAACGTAGTGACTGGGATTTATACGAATAATTGCACTGGAAGAGAATTTTCTGAAACATTTTCAAAGGTTGTGGTTGAAATCAAAGTCTGATTTCAACCATTTTTTCCCAGAAATGCTCTCCTAAGCACACCCTGAGCTGATGATCTGGCACTCTGGGCTGTCCGTTTACCTACTAAAGCCCTTTACTCGCCGCCGAGGTGGTGTTTGGCCTAGCTTCGCGGTAATTTATGTCCTATTGTGCCCTCGTATTTTCCTCCCTCATTATCCCTGTGTATTCAATGAATTCCAGAAGAGTCTTGAAGGGGGTACGTATGACTTGGTCTGGTAGAATTTCGTCCCCTCCCAAGGGTCTACCTGTTGCATATGACGTGCAGTGACACAAAATATGTAGAGTAGTTTCGTACTCTAATTCGCACCCCCTGCAGGTCGCTTGATCGCTCAGTCCCACCCTGAAGAGGTGTTTTTTGCAGGGGGCGTGTCCTGTTATAAAGGCCACTATCGTCTTTACTTTTCGCCTGCTGAGATCTAGCAGTTCACTTTTACGCACTGGTTGTAGAGGTCTCACCAACTGCCTTGCGGTAAGGAGTTGCGGTGTCTCCTCCTAGTACTTTCTATGTCCTTCCAAGATCCACCGTCCTAACCTGGGCATGAGATATGCTACAAACGGGTTTTTGGTTGGTCAGTGGTTGCTCGGTCCCTGCCTTAGCAAGTTCAGCAGCATTCTTGTTTCCTTTGCTCCTGGTTGTCCCTGTTGCCCAAGTGAGTTTTTCTCTGTTTGAGCTCCAAGCCAGGGTGGTAAGTTCTTTCACACAATCTAGCACACATTGTGACCTGATTGTGTACGATTTGAGTGCTTTTATTGCGGCTTCATCTCCGGTTAGGATGGTAATATGCTTACGTGTGTAGGCTCTTTCCGTCATTTTCTGGGTGCAAATTGTTATCGCTAGGACACTTGCTTGTTTAAGATAATCCTTTCCCCAGTTCTTCCTCTTTCGACTATAGCAGCACCTGTGCCCGATGCTGTTTTTGTGCCTGTGGTACCTGATAGAGTCGCTCCACCATCTTACCCCTCGTTTAGAACATATGTTCTAAAAGGTACCGAGATGCTTAGAGTTTTGATTCGATCAGCTTTTGATCCCATGGGTTGGACTGTCTTCAGCTTTCTGAAGAACGCGCTGTGCCCAATTCCGTCGCTTTTCCGGTGAAATTTCCCATGTTTTCTCAAATGTACTCTTGCAGATCCATAAAGCCCTGATCGCCTTGTTTGTTTTCTGTTCCACATGTTCTTTAAACAGCAGTTTCTTGTCTAGGGTTATCCCAAGGTATTTAACAGTGTCGGACACATTTATTGTATTTCCATATATACAGGGTGTCGCAATAAGGATGGTAAACGGCTGTATCTTGGAAAGTATGTGTTGTAGAGTGATCGAAAAAAAAAATTGATAACAAACTTGAGGAAAATAATTTGCTGGAAATTATTTTGAAATGTCTCAGATGACCACTAGATGGCGTAATTGCAAACGGTATTTTAAAAAGTCGATTTTATACAGAAATTGTCCCTATAAGTGAAACATCTAGTAAGTTTAGTCAAAATACCATAAAAAACCTTACTACTTTCCTTACGAACTTTTTTCCTAACTTGCCAAATAACGGGTGCGGGAAGAGTAAAATCGCTTAATTCAAAGAAACCTGTAACTCCGAAACGGCTTGTCCGATTTCAAAGTTCAATCAATTGAAAGAGCAGAAGAAGAAGTGAAACAAACTAGCGCATATTAACTAGCATATTGCGGTACCGCTGACCATTAACATTTAGCGCATTTCCAGCCGCATTTTCGAAAAAAAATGGTCCGATAATGCCTCCAGCCCAAAATGCGCACCAAACAGTTACTCGCGGCGGATGCATTGGTTTGTTGAGTATAATACGGGGTTTTCAGCGCCCCAAAATCGGCAGTTTTGCTTATTCACATACCGTTTAGCTGAAAAGGTGCCCCATCGGAAAAAATGATTTTCCTCGAAAAATTAACATCAATTTGGTGGTGCTCCACCACCCAATCAACGAATATACGGCCCTGCACCTGATCCCTTGGCTTAAGATCATGCGTCAGTTGAATTTTGTGCGCGTGCAGATGCAGGTGTTTTGTCAAAATTCGTTGTAGGATAGTTCTGGTCAGAGACAAGAAATAATCCCTATTATATAAATATATATCCTAGATAATAAAGTTATCCCTTGTCTCTGGTCCTGGTAATGTTCAATGCTGGACCTCGGTGGCAAAATGAAGTGCCTGGATTCTCTGCCACACTTTCTCTCACTGCGGCAATGGTTTCAAGGGATCGGCAAGGACGGCGACGAACAGTTCTCTTTTCATCTATGAACGTGAATTTTATCTCGAATTTTTTTATTCAACGGCGAACTGTCGACTCATTTGGCGCATTGTTGCGACCGAAAATTAGACGTAACTTTCGAACTGTTTTTTGTGTTTTTCCCCATTTTTGTACTAAGTTTTCACAATAATTAAACGTTGTTCGTTCGAATACTGCTCCATAACTTTGAATCGCAAGGTATGTGCATCACAGCTGTCAAAAAATCATGGTCAAACTAGTCACACAAAAAAAATGACGGCAAATTCAAATCCGGTGCTCTTGTTGAGACACCCTTTAGAAGACAAGTGACCTGCACCATACTAGGATAAAATATTTTTGGTTTTGGCCCACTTTTACCATATATTAAATCATCAGACCAAAACACTTTGGATTTAAACACAGTTCAATCTGTCTTAGCCAAGGGAGGAAACTTTGCTATTAGCCCAAGAACGATACCAATAGAGGAAATTATCTCGAACACCGAAACAGCATTGCTAGGGCTCCCAGAACAAACGGCAAATGAAATGCGTCGGGAAACCACCCAAATCCTGCGGAAAGCGAAACCACCACCAGGCAACCTAAGCAGAGAAGAATAACATGCCCTCAAGGAAATACGAAGGAACACAAGCGTTGTCGTCCTACCAGCTGACAAAGGAAACGCTACAGTCGTCATGACCAGAGAGGAGTACGAGCAGAAAATCCAAAACTTATTGGACCCAGTCACTTACACAAACTTCAAAAAAGATCCGACTCGAGCCAAGCTCAGAAACATCAACCGCCTGATCAAAATATCATCAATAGACGAGAACACCATGAAGAGTATTATTAGGTCAGAAGTCCTCTCCCCACGTTTGTATGGATTACCGAAGATTCACAAGGAAGGAATGCCACTAAGATCAATCGTCAGTGCCCCGGGATCAGCAACTTACGATATCGCAAAATATCTATAAAATATCTATCCTCTCTTCTGCAGCCACACTTGGGGTTCATAGAAACATACATCAAGGATTCCGAACATTTCATTAAGAAGATCCAAAACCTCAGACTGGAACTCACGGACATGCTGGTCAGCTTCGATGTTGCCTCTCTATTCACAAAGGTACCCGTGGACGAATCCGTGGAATTAGTGGCGGAGCTATTTGAAGAGAGTACAACAAATCTGTTCAAGGCTTGTCTAAAGGGCAGCTACTTCCTGTGGAATGGAGATTACTACGAACAAAAGGAAGTAGTGGCCATGGGAAGCCCAATCAGTCCGGTGGTGGCGAATCTATTCATGGAGAAATTTGAGGAAACAGCGTTGATCACCGCACCGCTTAAACCAACGATCTGGTACCAATATGTCGATGACACGTTCGTGCTATGGAGGCATGAACGCAAAAACTTGGACATCTTCCTCGACCATCTAAACAAACAGCACCCAAACATCCAATTCACCATGGAAGTTGAACAAAACCACCAACTGGTCTTCCTGGATGTTTTGGTGTTTAGGCAGGGGAATCGTTTGGACCACAAGATATATCGAAAAGCCACCCACACAGACAGATATTTTCACAAGCTATCTAACCACCATGCGAGTCTGAAGCAGGACATCATTAAAACTTGCACGGATAGGGCCAGAAAAATATGTGGGCCACAACATCTAACTACAGAACTACATCACCTGGAAAAAGCTTTTCTTCAGAACGGTTATTCCCAGTTGGACATCAAAAAAGCTGTATGAGTGGGCCGTGCGGAAAAAAGAAAGTGAATCCACTATGAAAGCTATCCTGCCCTTTGTTCCCAGGGTTACGGACATAATTGAGAAGCTCCTGAGGAAACACAAAATAAGAACAGTCTACAAGCCCACAACAAAGATCCGAGAATGTCTAGGGTCAGTTAAAGACAGAACACCCCCATCGCAACTGCAGGCATCTACCGTATTCCATGCTTCTGTGGAAGCGTCTACATTGGAACAACTAAGAGATCGGTTGCGACGAGAATAGAAGAACACCGACGGAATTGTAAACTGGGCCATGTGGAGAAGTCGGTAGTGGCGGAACATGCTCCCAGCGATGGAACACACATCTATTTCAGAGAGGCACAGATCCTGGCCACAACAACAGGTTACCGCCCCCGACTAATACGAGAAGCCATTGAAATCCACAAACACGACGACAATATCAACAGAAAAGAAGAGTCAATGGCGCTAAACAGGATATGGTTTCCCGCACTCACCAACGCAAAAACAGCCAGAAAAAGCAACAGCTCAGGGCAAGAGAGATGATCCAGTACACCGGAGGATAGCAACAGCCAACAGAATGCGCAGGCTCCGATGAGACAGGCCACGTGATCGCAACCGGTGCATCAATACGGACTGCGCCCGAGAAATCGCATCAGAACAGTGTAAGCGTTCAAAAAATCCGAAAAACCCATTAGTTTAAATAAGCTTTACTCGGATTATCTTCTTCTAAGGCTCCAATCATAAGATGTGCGATATATCGACCACAAGCATCCGTGCTTTCATCAACAGTAACATAAAAAGTATGATTGTCCAGAACAACTCTAATTTCCTCTATTACCGTTTTATATACTATATTCACATTCTTCTTTCTTATGGTAGATTCGTCAGGGATGTTTTTGTTCCAATATTTTTGTAAAAATTCTTTGAATTGGGTATTTACAAGCTTTTTTAAAGGAGTATTCGCCGCGACTAAAGCTTTGTATAAGTATGATGAAACGCTTCCGTTTCACTTCTTGTTTTGTCTCCGACACTTTGAAATGTTGTTTTCACAGACTGCTGAACGGGACCAGATTTTATCTTTTGCAACTTGGCTTTATGCATAGATGTTTTCAAATGTTGATCCACTTGGAACTTCTTCTCACAGACAATCTGTAACAAAAGATCATTTAAGATCTGGTTTTGATATGATCACAGATACAATACTAAAGAAAATGCAACGAAAATCCTTGGTAAAATTGACTACGTTAATCAACGCGTCAATCCGACTAAAATATGTACCGGTGCAATGGAAAGTATCGGATGTAATTATGATTCCAAAACCTGGCAAAAATCCACATAAAGTAGTATCATATCGGCCAATCTCACTGCTACCAATCATGTCAAAATTATTTGAAAAGCTGATTCTGAAAAGGTTGCAAGTAATCATTGAAAAATACCACCTAATACCAACG